GGAGGAACTTTGTCACAATATATATATATATGTGTGTGTGTGTATAGGGAATAAGTAGTGATAGGAATAAGTAGTCAAACAACATTGTTTACTTTTAGCTTTGCTTTATTATTATATTTACAATAAATGTGGCATCTTTGCCTTATCCCTCTTAACCAGATCCTGCTGGTTTTTATTCTATTGGTATAACAGTTGGGGGTTCCCTGGGGAGGGGAGACCCTAAGACTGAGGGGTTACTGCCAGGGGGCAGTTTCACGGACTCACAGATCGTGCTGACTCGTGGCCCCATGCGGTCCGTAGGGGGTGCCCCTTTCAGTGCGACAGCCCTTCTCGGGAGTCCACTCTCTCTCGGGGTCAGGCCCCTCTACCTCCTGGTGCCGCACCTCTCTGAGCCTTAGCACACCTGTTTCTCGCCATGGGCCCCCTCAGGGAGTCCACTTGCTCTGAACCCCCAGAGCCTCCACCACCCCCGAAGGGGTTGATGCAACCCTGTTCTCTAGCCCGGAGTGACTCTCAGCCAGCATAAAACAGGAGGATTTATTGAGAGTTGAACACAGCACAGGAAACTCTCAGGGCCTCAGGCCTGGCCTCCCTCAGCCCAGCACACCCCAGTCTCTCTGCATCCAGGCAGGCTCTGCCTGCTCCCCCTCTCCAGCCCAGAGCCCCCCTGCTGCCCAGCTGGGTATCTGATATCCCCTGCCCCAAGCCCCGCCTCTGTCCATTGTCTTCTCTCCAGGGAAACAGGGTCGTAAACTGGGGCCTCCTCTCCTCGCTTCTGTCCTCCGGCTGGAACCGGCTGGTTAGGTCACTGGGCCCTCACTCTGCAGCCCATTGTTCTCCCACTGGCCAGAACCGGCTGCAACTCCTGAGCTGGGTCTCCGGGTCGGGGTTTCAGGTCACCGGTCACTGGGATATCCATCCTCCAGGCCATTGGCTGGGGTCCCAAATTCCCTCTCCGGTTCTCTGTAACAACAAACTTCCTCTCCCCTCATCTCGTTAAACCAGTAACACCCAGGGAAACTGAGTCCCACCCCCTCCGCATGCAAACCATTGAAACCCCACAGAAAACAAGAAAAAACCCCACTTCATCACAGGCAGCACCCCAGGTACCAGGGTCCAGGGAGCGACACGGGGGGCCAGAGCACAGGCGGATCCCTGGCCTCCAGAGGGTGCTCCAAGGCTGTGAGAGCTAATTCCCGAAGATGACCAGCAGGAGGCGCCGCAGGCGTGAGTCCGTACTCTACAAGAACACTTCAATCTCTCTCTGGTCACTCAATAACAGACCTAAAAGTGGCAATTCTTCAACAACAAAACTTCAAAAACAGACTCCAACGTGAAGCTGCAGAACTGGAATTAATTTGCAAACTGCACAACATCAGATTAGGCCTGAATAAAGACTGGGAGTGGTTGGGTCATTGCAAAACCTAAACCTAATTTCCTCAATACTGATTTCTCCCTACTGTTACTCACACCTTCTTGTCAACTGTCTGTAATGGGCCACACTCTTACCACTTCAAAAGTTATGTTTTCCTCAGTTAGTATCCTGCTGTTAATTGATTTGTCTCGTTAGACTGACCTCACACTTGATAAAGCAACCCCCATCCTTTCATGTATTTATACCTGCTCCTGTATTTTCCACTCCAGGCATCCAATGAAGTGGGCTCTAGTCCAGGAAAGCTGATGCCCAAATAAATTTGTTAGTCTCTAAGGTGCCACAAGGACTTCTCGGTTGTTTCTGCCCAAGTGCTGCAGTTCTGCCTTTTTCCCACCAGAGGCCGCTGTGGCACCACAGCAGCATGAACACAACCCGCTGTTCTGGTGCCACAGTGGCCCCTGCTGGGCAACGGGCCGAACTTCAGCAATTCTGAGGCAGAATGTATTTTCTGTGGGAAAAAAATTCTCTGCCTGCCCCGTGCTGCAGAATTCCCCCAGGAGCAGAAGTTCATCACAGCACCTGCCGCAGAGCCTGGTTAGGGCAGAGTGGGGAACCCAGGGCTGCTGGGGGGTCACAGACTGGGGCTCAGGAGCTAGTGGGGTGACAGCGTTGAGTCTGGGGATTGGGGAGGAGGCTGCAGGGACACATGGGGATGGGGGTTGCGGAGCAGGGTCTGATGTGCCTGACTGAATGGGACAGGCTTGAGGTCAGCCAGGGTCTGCATGGGGGAGGCTTCCCAGCTCCCTAACAACCCTCCTCCCCAAAAAACAACCTTCTCCTGCCCACTCCCAACCCCTTCCAGGTTCACTCCCAGGCTCCTTCCCTGTCCCTCAGCTCCTCCATTACCCCTGACTCCCCCAAGCCTTTGCACTGCTTCTAGGGTGACCAGAAGACAGGAAGAAAATATTGGGACACATGGGGCGGGGTTGCCGGTGGAGCAAAAAAAAAAATTCATTGCAGCTTGAGCCATCCTCTTCCACTGTCTTTCTTGGCTGTTCTGATGTGACTAGATGTTCTCTGTTTATAGGGACAGTGCCAATATTGTCTTATATACACGCCTAAAACCCTCCACCCCCCGTCCCAGCTTTTCACCCTTGCTATGTGGTCACCCTAGTTCTGAGTTCCAGCTCAAATCAAGACAGCTAGTCCTCCATGCCATCTCTGTCCCTTCTCAATGGGACTTTCTCCCTGCCAGCTCTCTGCCTGGTGCCATTTTGACGACACAGCTCAGCCACCAGGGTCCCTTTCCACTGGCTCACCACTCGCTGGGGCCCTTCATTTCTGGTGCCGGTTGCTACCTCACTGGCTGCTGGTGTCTCTCTCCAGGGACTGGGCAGCCTCCCTCCAAACTCTACCAGCCCTTTCCACCAGGAGCACTCTTGGCTGTGGGGAGCTGCTGCCTGCTGTCCCATCTGTTTTCTTTCTCACCCTACTTCAGCTGCCCAGGAATCCTTGGGGTCCTCCCCACCACAGCTGTTTCGTGACTGTTTTTGAGGAATCCCCCCTCCCTCAGCCCCAAATCTCCAGCAGCTGCTCCTTATCCCAGCTGGGAACCCCCCAGTGACTCCGTCCCCACTCCCCAGCCAGATGTCCCCTCTGCTGGGCCCAGGGCTCAGGGCAGAGCCTGGCTCTGAGTGTCAAAATCCACTGAGTGTCCGGCTGGGGGTGGGGCTGGGAGCGGGGATACTGAGCTGCGCCCTCACCTGCTACCACCAGCTCCACGGGGTCGCTGGGCTCTGACCAGACGGGCAAGTCTAATTTGGTGCTATATCGGCAGCTGTAGCTCCCTGCCTCAGTTCAATGGCATTTCTTTGTCTGTCTGTAACACAATAATTTTTGAAGACTGCGTTAAATTGATTCCAAAATTTCTCAGCATCGGTGGGAAGAACTTTGTTGGTTTTGGTGACAAGTGGAAAACAGCAGCACCAGAAAAGCCTGATTTTCTGCACCACGTCCATTAAATTGGTGCTGTAGGCAGAGGCGCTTTGTGACATCAGAGTTAACTCAGCCAGTCAGTGCTAACTCTCTCCAGGTGATTTGCATAATTCATCCCCATTGGTTAAAATGAGTCAACATGCGGGTTTCAATGGGGAGAGATGAGCAAGGCAGGTGGCAGGGTGAGGATTTAAGATCAGGGTTAGTGGAGTGAGTGTGTGATGGGCGAGTTGCTGAGTTATGGTCGATGTCACAATTCTACTGCTCAGGCTCCTCTGCCTGCAGCGCCACATGGGCACCGACTGCCAAGGGGAAGTTTTTATTGATCTGAAACTTCTGAAACAAGAAGAACAGACGAGGAATGGCTCCGATGATTTGACAATAAACTGTAGGGTTTGGGACATTATCCCGTGCACTTGTTACTGGTTCCGGGATGGAAACTGGGCCTACAAAAACAAACAAGTGTCCGACCCTCTAGTTAGCCTCTTTTAAGGTTCAGTAAATAATTTTCAATGAATTATTGATATGATGAATTTTGCTGCCTTCTCTCCTATAACTGAATATGAGCAGTTTATGATTCCCTTGAATGTGGAAATTCTTCTAAAATCAGGGTGAATCAAAAGGATTTTTTCAAAAACAAAAAAAATCACAAAAGGGATTTAAGAAAAATGTCAATTGGATTATTTTCATTTAAATTAAAAACATGGGTCTTTTTTTTAAAACAAGACTATTGGGGATTAAATTGGAAATTATGACAACCCATGTTAATGCCTAAACTTGCAATAGTTTAGTCTGTGTTTGCTGCCCAGTTTTAATGGAAGTCAAACCACTGAATTCGTGGAAGTCGTTGGCTGAGCACCTGGAACCAGAGTTTGTTGAAAGGGTAAAACCAGCTTTTGACAACAGTAGCCTCTTCTGCAGGCACAGAAAGAATATTTTCTTCATTTCAGTGTATTCAGCTAGTTCAGTTCAATGACAACTTCATTCAAATTTCAGATACTGACGGGGAGTTGAGAAAGCAGGAAAGCTTCTTTTCCTCTTCCAATCTATGAATAAATACTACATGTGGGGGGATCAGATCTATTAGTTCTAATATCTGAGAGATACAATGACCAGAAACAATCAGTTCATGTCACTAACTGCAGATACCTCCTTACATCAGTTAGGTTCAAATAAAAAATATGTTTCGATACACTTTTTTTATTATGTATTCAGCACATTTAAGGTAGTTTTATTTAATTAATAAACATATTGAAAATGCTGTTTCTGTGCATTTTTGAGTGCATTTGAATTTCCATCCAAACAGAGCTTGGACAAATCAGAAGTAAAAAAATCATCATAATCTAGGAAATAAATGAATCATTTGCCATTTTCCAACATAATCAAAATGTAAAAATTAGACTGAAGAAATGTAAATTACTCCATATAACTGCTTCAATCAATGTGCATAGATATAGTTTGCCATCATGGTTAGCAAAAGAAAAAGCACCAGATTTAGTGTAAAGACTATATTTCATTGCAAATCAACATTTTTAATGGTTATCAACTAATGAGAATCAACCTATCATTAGGAAAATAACTAAAAAGTACAACATAAAAACCCCCCCCCCCCCCCCCCCCCCAGTGTAACCACTGCACACCACTTCCCATCCCGAGCCAGGGAGAGAACCCAGGAGTCCTGAATCGTAGGGCAGGTAGATCGGGGTGGGAAGCAGAGCTGGGGTCTCATCTGCTCTGTCTCGGGGCTGGTCCTTACCCTGCAAAGACATGAAGCAGATTTGTCCATGAGTCGACCCTGATCCCCATGTATCAGCCCTGCCCCTCTGCCCTACAGGGCAGCTGGGACGGGGGGGGGGCAGGACAGAATCCCTGCCCCCCACGCTCTGCCAGGGGGAGCCCCGCCCCCTCCAGCTGCTGAGCCTGGATACCCTAGAGACAGGTTCCCACCCCCGGCAGCACAATGGCCCCTACCGAGCCCCCTGCCCCACCCCCTGCAGCCCAGCGCCCCCTAGTGCTGCCCAGGGGCTTTGGGGCCAGCTCTCACTGCCAGGGGAGTGTGCCCCCTACTGGGCCCCTGTCCCAGCCCCTGGGTTTCCTTCCCTGTCTCCCATCCAAGCTATGACCCCTTTACAGCCCAGCTTAGCAGCGGCCTTAACCCGTCCCTCGCTGGGTGGGGCACTCACTTCCTCGGGTTTTCCTGTAACAGAGGAAGGCCAAGAGACAGTCCCTGCCCCAGCCAGGTGCCATTGACACCTGGAGTCACTGCGGAGCAGGTCTGAGTGCAGTTGTCCCTATTTTAGAGGAGGAACATCCCTAGTTCTTGGGATCCTCATATGCCCATGTGTGGCCCCTACCTCATTCACTGCATCCAGCCCCCGGATCACAGAGCGACTCACGGGCTGGTCTCTGGTGCCCGACACCGCCCAGCACCACAGGCCCCGAGCCGCACACAAGAAGGGAGTCAGCCTCCCATTCTACATAGTGGGAAACTGAGGCACAGACATAGTCACTTTCCTCAGTGAGCTCCCAGGGGAAGGGACTGTCTCTTCACTCTGTGTTTATGCAGCGCCTGGCACAACAGGGCCCTGATCATGGCGGGGCCCCTACATGCTCCCCCAACACAAGGGCTCCAGTGCTATTGAGGCCAGCATTTGCAGAGGTCTGCGCTAACTGTGGGCATCTCGGCTTGTGGGCGCTCGGCCTGAGAACCCTGAAGATTGAGGCCCCCCCACAATGAACGACACTTTTGAAAACCGTGGTGTGCTCCCATCACACAGTGTCTATGTCCGCAGCAGGAGTTGGTCCAGATCTCCTGGGTCCCAGCCCAGCGCCGTGTCCACCAAGCCACTGTTCTCCTGCAGCCCCTGCCTCATTCAGCCCGGGCCGGGGCACTGCCTGGGGCGGGCGCTGGAGAACAGAGGGGATGGGATCACGGGATTAAATAGCGACTCACAGTTCATACAAACTGGGAACAGCATTAAAGTCGCATCAGGGGCTGCTGCTCCCCCCTGGCTGGGGAACCCCCAGTGACTCCGTCCCCACTCCCCAGCCGGGCGTCCCCTCTGCAGGGTCAGTGCTCAGGGCAGAGCCTGGCTCTGAGTGTCCCATTGGCACTGAGCCCCCGTGAGGGTCTGGCTGGGGGTGGAGCTGGGAACAGGGACGCCGAGCCGGGCCCCTCACCTCTCACCACCAGCTCCACGGGGTCGCTCCACCTGACGAACGGCTCCGACCTGCTGTGATGGGAGCAGCTGTAGTTCCCGCCCTGCTCCCGGCGCACGTTGTTGATGGGAAACACAAACTCCGACTTCTCCGAATCCACGTGTGCAACATGGCGTCCCCCTTTATTCAGCACGATCCGCACGCCCTGGCCCTGCCCCCAACACCAGATGGACACAGTTCCCCCCAGGGAGACCTCCCCACTGGGGCTGATGATGGGCTTGCGCAGAGTGGGCTCTGGGAGCAGAAGGAGACAGGCTGTGAGACGCAGACCCCGGGCGGGGAGGGGCTGACACAGCGACCCAGCCACCGGCCCCCACCCAGCACAGCTCCCCATTGAGTGCTGGGCATCCAGGGGAGTGGGGAGGGGCCGGCTGAGCAGCCCCTAGGCCCCAAAAGCTCTGTGTGTCCCCCGAGATGGGGAGTATCCGCCTGGGAAAGGCCTCCTGCTCCGCAGCTTCCCCTGGAGCCAGGGATCCCCCCTCCCTCGGACTGAAATCTCCAGCGGCTGCTGCTCCCCCCAGTAACTCCATCCCCCATGGGCAGTGGGTGGACCCCCCTTTCCGGGAGGCTAGCCCTGCAACCCCAGCCCCCCCCCTGCACAAGGCCGTGCTTCTAGTGGCAGAAGCCCTGAGTGCCCCTCGCCACCGCCTCCCCTGGCCGGAGAAACCCCGGCCTGCCAGAACCCCGAGCCAGCTCCCCATCCCCACCTCCAGAGGACCCCCGGCCAGCCCCAGGCCCCGGCCATCTGGCCAACCACAGCCCAGCGTCCCTCGGCAGCGGCTCCAGCCAGGGAAGGCAGAGCTTTCCCTGGCCTATTATCCCCGCCACCCACGTCATCCCCGCTCCCCGGCCGGGCATCCCCTCTGCTGGGCCCAGGGCTTAGGGCAGAGCCTGGCTCTGAGCGTCCTAGCAGCATGGAGCCCCCCACAAGAGTCTGGCTGGGGATGGGGCTGGGAGTAGGGACGTCGAGCCGGGCCCCTCACCTGCTACCACCAGCTCCACGGGGTCACTGGGCTCCGAGAAGACGAAGGACTCGGATTGGGGCTGGTAGCTGCAGCTGTAGCTCCCTCCGTGCTGCCGGCCCATGGTGGGGATGCGGAACTCGGCCCCGGCCCCAGCAGGGTCCATGTGTCGCTGCGGGTTCGAGTCTCCAGCCTTGTGCAGGAAGAACCTCACGTCCCGGCGCTGCCCCTGACACCGGATGGTGACGTCTGCCCCTGGGGCGGTGACCCCAGTGGGGCTCAGAGAGATGGAGGGTCTGGGTAAGCTGGGCTCTGCACACAGGAGACAGGCGGTGAGAGCCAGACACGGGCACCCGCCCAGCCCTGGGGTCCCCGGGCAGAGATTCTCTCCCAGATCCCAGAGTTTCTCCCACCCAGAATCCTGCCCTGTGAGCTGGGCTTCCAGCCCCACAGACACCGAGCCGCAGCTCCCTAGTTCTTGGGATCCTCATATGCCCATGTGTGGCCCCTGCCTCATTCACTGCATCCAGCCCCCCGAGCACAGAGCGACTAGCGGGCTGGTCTCTGGTGCCCGGCACCGCCCAGCACCAGGCCCCGAGCCACACACAAGAAGGAAGTCAGCCTCCCATTCTACATAGCAGGAAACTGAGGCACAGACATATTCACTTTCCTCAGTGAGCTCCCAGGGGAAAGGAGTGTCTCTTCACTCTGTGTTTATGCAGCGCCTGGCACAACAGGGCCCTGATCATGGCGGGGGCCCTACATGCACCTGCAACACAAGGGATCCAGCGCTATTGAGGCCAGTGTTTGCAGAGGTCTCCGCTAACTGTGGGCATCTCGGGTTGCGGGCGCTCGGCCTGAGAATCCTGAAGATTGAGGCCCCCCCACAATGAAGGACACTTTTGAAAACCGCGACGTGCTCCCATCACACACTGTCTGTGGCTGCGCCAGTGTCACGGAGTATGGGGGGACTCAGGGCCCTGCACCCCCAGCGTCCTGCGATTCACCATGACTCTCAGCCAGCCAGTAAAGCAGAAGGTTTATTTAGATGACAGTAATACAGTCCAAGACAGGTCTTGCAGGCGCAGACAACAGGACCCCCCCAGTTAGGTCCATCTTGGGGTCCCCGGGCACCCTAGCCCCCCTGGGAGGTCAGAGCCCTGTCTGCCTCCCAGCCATGGTCACTAGCCAGCTCCACAGACTCTGCCTTCAGCGACCCCTCCCACAGCCTTTGTTCAGTTTCCCGGGCAAAGGTGTCACCTGGCCCCAGCCCCCTCCTGGGTTCTCATGTTACATGCTCAGGTATTCTCCGTAGGTCAGTCTCCCATCCCCCGATGCAGACTATCCCAGCCACACTCCCCTGTCAGCATTCACAGACTACTTTAAGAACAGTCTCAGTTCGTCACATCTCTCCCCCCTTCGAGACCGAACTGAGCGGGGTCACTTCAGCCAGTGACCCGGGGAAGTTCGAACCTACCCCCGTTCCCATGGATGCCCTAGCATCCCTCCCATTCCTTGGTGAGAATTACACCAGGCCCCTCCAGTTTCACGCCCCCCCTTAGGTCGGGGTGCTCGAGGGCATTCGCAGTTCGCATGTGGGAAGGGTTATGCGGCCTGTGCCCTTTTCCCACCCCAATACCCCTGGGGTTCCAACTAGGCTGTGGTCTTCTCCCAGCGCTCCAGTCTGGAGGTCTGTGCTTCGGGCTCTCTTGGTTCAGAGCCCCCCTTTTAACCTTGGCCACCCTCTGGAAAGGCTCCTCTATGCTGGGCAAGGGTCCTAAAGCCGTTTTCCCCTTGTCCCGGGCCTTTCTCTCCCTCTGACAGGGGTCACAGGATCGGCAGTACTGCCGGACAGTAACAAAGACCCCAGGCCAGTAAAAGCTCCGTAGCAGCCTCTGCTGGGTACGCCAGGTTCCCTGGTGCCCTGAGAGGGGGGTGCCATGGGCCCGGTACAGCAGCTGGCGGCGATACTTCTGGGGTACCACCAGCTGCCTCCTGATCCCCCCTGTGTCCATTTTCCCTGGGGGAGCCCATTCTCGGTACAGGAACCCCTTCTCCCACAGGAACCTTTTCCGGCCACCTCTCCCCATGGTCTGTACCGCACCGAGGTCGGCCAGGTCCCTTATCTTCCGCAAGGAGGGATCTTTCTGCACCTCGGCCTGGAACTCAGCAGCTGGGACAGGGATGGCCACCTGCTCTTTCTCGCCGGCTGGGTCTGAAGCCGCAGCCTCCCTGAGCCGTGTCCCTGGGTGTTCCCTCCCCACCAGGTTAGGGTCCTGCGCCTCGGGCAAAGCACCCTCCCCAGGGCCAGGGCGCAGTGCTCCCAGCCGGCTCTGACTACGGGTCACAACCAGTGCATTCTGGGGGTTGCTTGGCCAGTCCTCCAGGTCCCCCCCCATCAACACCTCAGTGGGCAAATACGGGTGTACCCCCACGTCCTTGGGGCCCTCCTTGGCCCCCCACTTCAGGTGTACCCTCGCCACGGGCACTTTGACTGGTGTCCCGCCCACCCCCGTCAGAGTCAGGTAGGTGTTGGGCACCACCTGATCTGGGGGCACCACCTCGGGCCGGGCCAGCGTCACCTCTGCGCCCGTATCCCAGTATCCATTGACCTTCCTCCCATCCACCTCCAGGGGAACAAGGTACTCTCTCCGGAGGGACCGCCCCGCGCCCACCGTATAAACCAAAAACCCTGAGTCTGGAGCATCCAGCCCCCCAGAGGAGCTGGCCTGGAGCTCTCCTCCCTCCTTAGCAGGTGGTACTCTGCCAGCCCCCCTTCCCTGGGAGTGCTGCCTCTCGCCCGGCTGGGTCTCTACCCAGTCAACCCTCTGTGGGTTTGGTCTGCTCAGTCTGTCCCTGAGCCTGGGGCACTGGGCCCGTATGTGGCCTCTCTGGCCACAGTGATAGCAGCCCATGTCCCATGGGGCCCCTCGAGTGGGTCGGATGGCCCTGATGCCGGATGTTCCCCTTTGATGGGGGTTTTCCGTATTTTCCCGCTGGGCGGTCCCATGGTGACTCTCTCTCTGCGTTGCGGTGGGACTGTTCCTTTGGGACTCCTCCCTGTTTTCTCCTGACCGGCTCTTTACAAACTCATCGGCCAGCCGGCCTGCATGTCGCGGGGTCTCTGGTTTTTTGTCCCTCAACCACAGCCTCAGGTCAGATGGGCACCGCTCATATAGTTGCTCCAATACCAGCAGTTTAACCAGGTCCTCCTTCGTCTGGGCCTCATCTGCCCACTTGCTGGCGTATCCCTCCATGCGGACGGCTAGTTGCAGATATGAGATCTCAGGGGTTTTATCCTGACTCCGGAACCTTTCCCGGTACATCTCAGAAGTCAGCCCAAACTCACGTAGCAGGGCCTTTTTGAATAGTTCGTAGTCCCCTTTCTCCACCTCTTCCAGTTGGCGGTACAATGCCACGGCTTTGGGGTCCAGTAAGGGGGTGAGAACCCGGAGTCTGTCCGCAGGATCAACCTGGTGCAGCTCGCAGGCCATCTCAAAGGCACCCAGGAAGCCATCCATGTCCTCCCCCTCCTTACATGGGGCCAGGATGCACTTATCAAAGCTCCGTGCAGTCCTGGGTCCCCCCTCACTCACCGCAGCCGGGGTCGCGCGGCCCTTCAGCCTCGCCAGTTCCAGTTCATGCTGACGCTGTCTCTCATTCTCCTCCCGTTCATGATGCCTCTGTCTCTCTTCATGCTGCCTCTGTTGTTCACGATCCTCCAGCTCTCTCAGTTTTAGCTCTTTCTCCCATTCCAGCCCATTCCGCTCCACGGATGGCGCGCGTGGCCGGGAGGATCCCCTGCTGGCCGGGGGGGTCACGGCGCCCTCGGTATTTGCTGGGCTCCTCCCCACCCTTCCCCTAGGCATAGGAAGGGGGGGTCTCGGGAAGCCCTCAGCAGCCGGCTGACCACTCCCAGCTGGGACAGACTCTGAGGTCTGCGCTGCATCTGCCAGGCTGCTTCCCTCAGAGACAAGGATCAGTTCATTCGAGCGATCTCCCTTCTCCAGCTGGGCAATGAGCTGTTCTTTGGTGAGCCTCCCAAAGCGCACCCGCCTCTGCTTGCACAGCTCCACCAGGTCGCTCTTAAGCCGCTTGGCATACATCTTCCTGCTGGCCACTCACAGGCCTGTGTGCTCACCGCTCCCCACCGTTTCCAGGGAGACCCCTAGTGTGCCAGCCCTTCTCGAGGTCACCACCTCTCTGCCAGGGTCGAGCTGCAGACTCCTCCGCCCCTGGGACCACTCGCTGCGATCCCCCGGGGGACCCTGTTACTGCAAAAGTCCTTCTCGCTGGTCACACACTCCCAGGGGTGATAACCGTCTCTCTCTGACTCTTCAGCACGCCTGGTCCCCGTCAATCCCCCTTCGTTTTACTTCTCCCCAGTCACTTACTGCAGGAAGCGCCGTCCACGGGGTGCAGTAGATCCCGCCGCTACCACCAGTTGTCACGGAGTATGGGGGGACTCAGGGCCCTGCACCCCCGGCGTCCTGCGATTCACCATGACTCTCAGCCAGCCAGTAAAGCAGAAGGTTTATTTAGACGACAGGAATACAGTCCAAGACAGGTCTTGCAGGCGCAGACAACAGGACTCCCTCAGTTAGGTCCATCTTGGGGTCCCCGGGGAGGTCCCCGGGGAGGTCAGAGCCCTGTCTGCCTCCCAGCCATGGTCACTAGCCAGCTCCACAGACTCTGCCTTCAGCGACCCCTCCCACAGCCTTTGTTCAGTTTCCCGGGCAAAGGTGTCACCTGGCCCCAGCTCCCTCCTGGGTTCTCATGTTACATGCTAAGGTATTCTCCGTAGGTCAGTCTCCCATCCCCCGATGGAGACTATCCTAGCCACACTCCCCTGTCAGCATTCACAGACCACAGTAAGAACAGTCCCAGTTCGTCACAGCCAGGAGCTGGGCCAGATCTCCTGGGTCCCAGCCCAGCGCCGTGTCCACCAAGCCACCGCTTCTCCTGCAGCCCCTGCCTCATTCAGCCCCGGCCGGGGCACTGCCTGGGGCGGGTGCTGGAGAACAGAGGGGATGGGATCATGGGATTTAATAGCGATTCACGGTTCATACAAACTGGGGACAGCATTAAAGTCGCATCCAGGGGCTTCTGCTCCCCCCTGGCTGGGGAACCCCCCAGTGACTCCGTTCCCACTCCCCAGCCGGGCGTCCCCTCTGCAGGGTCAGGGCTCAGGACAGAGCCTGGCTCTGAGCGTCCCATTGGCACCGAGCCCCCGTGAGGGTCTTGCTGGGTGTGGGGCTGGGAACGGGGACGTCGAGCCGGGCCCCTCACCTGCTACCACCAGCTGCACGGGGTCGCTGGGCTCTGAGGAGACGAAGGGCTCTGATCGGGGCCGGTAGCTGCAGCTGTAGCTCCCTCCCTGCTGCCGGCCCATGGTGGTGATGAGGAACTCGGCCCAGTCCCCAGCAGGGTCCACGTGTCGCTGCGGGTTCCGGTCTCGAGGCTTGTGCAGGAAGAACGTCACATTCCGGCGCTGCCCCTGGCACCGGATGGTGACGTTTGCCCCTGGGGTGGTGACCCCAGTGGGGCTCAGAGAGATGGAGGGTCTGGGTAAGCTGGGATCTGGCCACAGGAGACAGGTTGTGAGAGCCAGACCCGGGCACCCACCCAGCCCCGGCCTCCCCGGTTGGCCGCAGCCCTGGGGAGATCCTGGGGCCCCCGGGCAGAGATTCTCTCCCAGATCCCAGAGTTCCCCCCACCCAGAATCCCGGCCCTGTGAGCTGGGCTCCCAGCCCCACAGATACCGAGCCGTGGCTCCCTAGTTCTTGGGATCTTCATATGTCCATGTGTGGACTCTGCCCCATTCACTGCATCCAGCCCCCCGAGCACCAGAGCGACTCACGGGCTGGTCTCTGGTGCCCGGCACCGCCCAGCACCACAGGCCCCGAGCCGCACGCAAGAAGGGAGTCAGCCTCCCATTCTACATAGCGGGAAACTGAGGCACAGACATAGTCACTTTCCTCCGTGAGCTCCCAGGGGCTGGGACTGTCTCTTCACTCTGTGTTAATGCAGCGCCTGGCACAACAGGGCCCTGATCATGGCGGGGGCCCTACATACACCTGCAACACAAGGGATCCAGCGCTATTGAGGCCAGCGTTTGCAGAGGTCTCCGCTAACTGTGGGCATTTCGGCTTGTGGGCACTCGGCCTGAGAACCCTGAAGATTGAGGCCCCGCCACAATGAAGGACACTTTTGAAAACCGCGACGTGGCTCCCATCACACAGAGTGTGTGTCCGCGCCAGGAGCTGGCCCAGATCTCCTGGGTCCCAGCCCAGCGCTGTGTCCACCAAGCCACCGCTTCTCCTGCAGCCCCTGCCTCATTCAGCCCGGGCCGGGGCACTGCCTGGGGCGGGCACTGGAGAACAGAGGGGAGGGGATCACGGGATTAAATAGTGACTCACAGTTCATACAAACTGGGGACAGCGTTAAAGTCGCCTCCAGGGCTACTGCTCCCCCCTGGCTGGGAAACCCCCCAGTGACTCCGTCCCCACTCCCCAGCCGGGTGTCCCCTCTGCGGGGTCAGGGCTCAGGGCAGAGCCTGGCTCTGAGCGTCCCATTGGCACCGAGCCTCCGTGAGGGTCTTGCTGGGGGTGGGGCTGGGAACGGGGATGCCAAGCCGGGCCCCTCACCTCCCACCACCAGCTCCATGGGGTCGCTGGGATACGACACGGCGATCGGCTCCAATCTGTTGTGATAGGAGCAGCTGTAGCTCCCGCCGTCCTCCCGGCTCACGTTGCTGATGGGAAACACAGTCTCAAAGTCGCCCGAATCCACAGGTGGGAAATGGCGTCCATCTGTATTCAGCACGAACCGCATGCCCTGGCGCTGCCCCCGACACCAGATGGCCACGGCTCCCCCCAGGGAGACCCCCGCGATGGGGCGGACGGAGACGGAGGGCTTGGGCAGAGTGGGCTCTGGGAGCAGAAGGAGACAGGCCGTGAGACGCAGACCCTGGGCTGGGAGGGGCCGACACAACGACCCAGCCACCGGCCCCTCCCCAGCACAGCTCCCAACTGAGTACTGGGTTTCCAGGGGAGTGGGGAGGGGCCGGTTGAGCAGCCCCTGGGCCCCGAGCCCTCTGTGCATTCCCCGAGATGGGGAGTATACCCCTGGGAAAGGTCCCCTGCTCCGCAGCTTCCCCGGGGACAGGGATCCCCCCTCCCTCAAACTCCAGTGGCTGCTCCTTAGGGTTACCATACTTCCGGTTTTTCCCGGATATGTCCGGCTTTTTGGTAATCAAACCCCCGTCGGGGGGAATTTCCAAAAAGCCGAACACGTCCGGGAAAAATACTCCCTGGCTTACCTTAGAGCGGGCACCGGGGGCTGCTCTGCTCCCTGACTCCTGGGCTCTGTAAGAGCCGAGCTGCCTGAGCGCTACCGGCTTCGGGCAGCTCGGCGCTTACAGAGCCCAGGAGTTCAGGGAGCACAGCAGCCGCCGGAGCCCGGGAGGGGAAGTGCCAGCCGGGGGCGCAGGGTCTGGGGGCTGCCCGGCAAACCGTCAAGCCGGTAGCGCTCGGGCAGCCCTTTTCGCGTGGCTGGGAGGCAGGAGGGAGAATGCGAGGCGCTCAGGGGAGGGGGCGGAGTTAGGGCGGGGACTTTGGGGGAAGGGGCGGGGTTGGGGTGGTGAAGGGGCGGAGTTGGGGCGGGGCTGGGGGTGGGAAAGGGGCGGGGCCAGGGCCCTGTGGAGTGTCCTCTTTTTTTATTTTTTAAATATGGTAACCCTACTGCTGCTCCCTCCAATGACTCCATCCCCCATGTGCGATGGGTGGACCCCCCTTTCCAGGAGGCTAGCCCTGCAGGCCCCCCCCCCCCCCCCCCCTGCACAAAGCCCCACTTCTAGTGGCAGAAGCCCTGAGTGCCCCTCGCCACCCCCTCCCCTGGCCGGAGAAACCCCGGCTGGCCAGAACCCCGAGCCAGCTCCCCACCCCCACCTCCAGAGGACCCCCGGCACAGCCCGAGGCCCAGGTCAGCCCCAGCCAGCCAACCGACTCCAGTTCCAGCCATGCGATGCTGAGCAGCTCCAGCTGCATTTGCCGGCCCGGGTGACCCCAGCCCTGTGCTAGGCCAGGGCAGCCCCAGCCCCCAGCCCCAGCCCCCAGCCTTCCTCTGCCCCAAATCTCCTGTGGCTGCTTCTCCCCCCTGGCTGCGGAACCCCCCAGTGACTCTGTCCCCGCTCCCCGGCCGGGTGTCCCCTCTGCTGGGCCCAGGGATCAGGGCAGAGCCTGGCTCTGAGCGTCCTATCAGTGCAGAGACCTCCTGTGGGGCTGGCTGGGTGTGGGGCTGGGAGCCCGGGCACTGAGCCGGGCCCCTCACCTCCTACAATGATCTCAACGGGGTCGCTGGGATGCGATGTGCGACTCTGATCCGCTATGGAGCGATAGTCGCAGGTGTAGCTCCCTCCATCTTCCCGGCTGACACTGGGGATGGGAAATTCAGCCATGGTCCCATCAGGCACCGTCTGCCTCTGCGGGTTCGGTTGTCCAGTTTTACGCAGAAAGAACTCCATGTCCAGGTACAAACCCTCACAGCGGATGGTGACGGTTCCCCCGAGCGCCACCACCCTGCTGGGGCTCACCGAGATGGTGGGTTTGGGGTATTCCTGCCCTGCTCTCAACAAGAGACAGGAGTTAAACAGGGGAGACACAGCCCCCCGCCTCCCCCCGACCCCAATTCAGTCCATCCATCATTCGGCCTCTCTAGGAGTCTGTCCCCTACCAGGGTTGGCACTGCTGCCCATGGGGCTTGGGGGCAGGGGGCTCACCCAGACGTAGCTCAGGACCCGGCTGCAGGAGAGATCCCCTGCCCCCCCGGCCCCACCTGAGGCCAGCCAGGGAGCCTGACCAGTGGGCCTCCGGCAGCTCTGCCCCCGGGGTTGGAAATAGAGTCTGTGACCGGCAGGAATCTCACAAGACCCACCTTTCCCCAGGCCATGGGATCGGGGGGCGGGGCTGTGAGTGCAGGGGAGGGAGGTGTTCGGGTGGATCTCGGGGCAGGGGAGGATCTGGGGGTTCTGCCCACGGCTGCACTGACCATGAACGTTTCGGTTCCCCGAGGGGATCTAGAGCCCACGGACGGGCCCTGTTAGCATTTGTATGAGCTGAAATAAATCCACATGCTGCCCCCCCACATTCCTCACAGCCTGGGGGCGGCGGGGTGGGGGCAGGACATTAAACTAGAGGATGGTTTCCGTCTGCTTCGTCAGACCCCACGAGCCAGATTCGGCTCCTAGTTATTCCCTAGCGGGGCCGGGACTGGGGAGGTTCACAGAAGAACGGGGCCGGGTCTGAGCTCACGAGGGGAGTTTGGGTTGAGTTTTGAGGAAGGTTCAGGGCTCAGTTCCTCTTTTCTCCACTCCACATATCCCCTCCCCTGTCCTTGATGTTATCGTCCTCCCCACAAACTGATACTCACCTCCCCACACCCCGCTGTGCCCAGCCAGCCAGCAGCCTGGAGGGGAGACGGCTTGTTAATAACCAGATCCCAGAGCAACTGGATCCTACACCCTGGTCTCAAACCCCCCCCCCCCCCCATGGGCACACACCCTGGTCTCAGATCCCCCCATGGGCACACGCCCTAGTCTCAGGTCCCACCCCCCATGGGCACATGCCCTGGTCTCAGATCCCACCCCCCACGGGCACACGCCCTGGCTTTATTTGATACTCACCGAGGAAGAGGATACTGAGAGCAGATGCCATGATGGGGGCAGCCAGGGGCCCCTCAGCACTGCCACCAACACCCCGAAGCCCAGCTCAACCAAGCCCCAAATGAGGAACTTAGCTGGTGGCTCCAGCTACAGGAAGTGGACGATGTGTCGTCTCTTCCTGCATCCATCATATGTTGGCTCTAATCTGCAGGCGAAATCTAGGGCAGGCAAAGCAAGCAGAGGTCCCTGCAAAGCCCAGGAAACCCTGGGCCCCTCAGCCTGGCCAAGCATCATGCAGCTCCCAGCTTCTCTATGTCTCTGTGGGGACTCAGGAAAGGTCACTGTGATGCAGCAGGGAGTGGGGAGTATTGACCTGGGAAGGTTGCAGGGGAGTTTTATTGGTAACTGTGTGGGATGGGAGACTTTCCTTGAGAGAAGATACCTGAGCATGTAACATGAGAGCCCAGGATGGGGGGTTGGGGCCAAGTGACACCTTTGCCCGGGAAACTGGACAAAGGCTGGAGGAGGAACCAGGGGGAGGGGGCAGGGCCGGTGCTTCCATTTAGGCGACCTAGGCGGTCGCCTAGGGCACCAGGATTTGGGGGGGCGGCAATTCGGCAGCGAGGGGTCCTTCCGCGCTCTGGGTCTTCGGCGGCAATTCTGCGGCGGGTCCTTCACTCATTCTGGGACCCGCCGCCGAAGTGCCCTGAACACTGGGAGCGTGGAAAGACCCCCCCACCGCAGAATTGCCGACGACGACCGGGAGCGTGGAAAGACCCCCACCTAGGGCGCCAAAAACCCTGGTGCCGCTCCTGGGAGGGGGTGTGAGACAGCTGGAGGGGGCTTCAGTTTGGAGCTGGCTGAGGAAATGGAGGGAGCCCCACGATTGATCCCAGCAATTACAGATCAGTAAGTCTAACGTCAGTACCGGGCAAATTAATTGAAACAATAGTAAAGAATAAAATTGTCAGACACCTAGAAGAACAT